TCTAACAGTGGAAAAAAAAACTGGTTTATAGTAATCGATGCAAACTTCTGGATGTTAATTTATAATCAATTGCAATACCCAAGATATATAATAAATCAGCTATATAAATTTATATTCTGCAAGGTACAAAATTTTCATTGATTACTAACTCTCCAGTATTAAGACCCCCAAACCACTCTAAATCATTTCGATTTTCAAATTAGTTATCTTGAAAACACTTGAGAATAATTAACAAGCAAGCAAACATTCATGAAGGAGGTGCTATCCAGCTCCAAAGCATCTCCTTTAAAAGAGAAGAAAAAGAGAGCCAAAAAATTTCGTCTACTAAAAGCATATATAGCTTAAAATGGCTTCAGTTTTATAAAGTTTACATTTAGAAATGCACCAAAAGTAATGTGTTGAAAGCTAATAGTGAAGTATTTAATTCTTACCCCCAACTATATAACAGGTAAAGAACTGAATTAGATAACAATATCACGATCATCTTGGCAAATCAGGCAGATAGTTTCTCTAAAATGAAGCCAACTAAATGTGTCATACTAAATAAGTTAAAAACCAAAATTGGAATTGGGTTTAAAGAACCCAAACTTTGAGATGAACTAAACCTTCTTGCCAAGAACTATCTAATCAAAATTGTCCACTACTACATTTTAACTCTTTAGTAACATTTTCTTTCTTACATTTATTAAAATGTTACTATATATTAAATAAATATAGGTTATTTTGCAATATTATTTTTTGAAAAATATCATTATAGATAAAGTAACATTTTTTATTTTAATATTATTTTTTTCAATTGTTTTCAAAATCAAAGTCCCATATCGAGTAAAAAAATGTCACATAGGTTATTTTGTAATATTTTCTTGAAAAGTGTTACTATAATTGCTTCTAGAATCAAAGTTCTACATCAAGTAAAAAAAAATATATTTTTCTCATCTCTAATTATTACCCATAATTAAAGTCTCACATCGAATAAATGAATGACTTATAAAGAATATATATAATCTTATAGTTATACTTAAGATAAATGAATTTTGATATTTTATAACTAGTAGTAACTAATTAAGAATGTCTTTAATCTTCTCTTGAAGAACTCCTAAGGATTTAGGAGGCATAAAAATATAAGAATTGATAATAATATCTAAATTAAAATTAATTATCATTTTATAAAGTTAACAAAAATTTAGCAACATCATTAAAATGTTACAAAAATACTACTTTGATAACATTTGAAAAATTTTGCTTAATTGTATAAAAATGTTATTAAAATTCTTTAGCAACTTACAACATTTAATAATATGTTGCTAAAGCAATTTAGTAACATTTATGCACAATTTGGTAACATTTTTCAAATGTTACTAAATGTTCTTTGTATTGTAGTGGTCATGCAGAAGTATTGATTCAGGAAGTCTGTCATAGTGCTCTTCCTCAACATAAATTTCATTTAGAGCTTCATTGACAGTAGACACATTATCATTGCTTTGAATAGAAATCATGTATGGCTTAACTAATCTTAGTTGGTCAGACTAAAAATAAAATTTTCCATGAGAGTTTTAAAACACCATATGATACAAGGATCACAAAAATCAAACACAACCTCGAAAAACAAGGTTACATTTTGAACATAACCTTCAATATAGTGAAGCATGTTGTTTGTATTAAAGATAATGAGTGAGATGCAAACGGTTAAATCATGCCTAAATATAACTTTTAATAATGATAAATTCTTAGTTTCAAATTTCAGTAGAGAAAAGATCTCATGTGTGTGCTAATAATTTTGTTTAAGTGTTTGAGAGATATTTATATCTAATTAGAAGGTTGTTTGAGCTTCACTACTAGAATTTCTCTTATTACATGCGATTTTTTCTGCGAATTTTTCATAAAAATTCGCAGGAAACGTTGTTCCTGCAAATTTTTTTGCGAAATTTTATTTGCAGGTAATACATTCATAGATAATATATTTTTGCGAATTTTAAGATTTGCAGGAAATTTTCCTGCGAAATTTCTTGCAAAAAAAAAGCGCAAGAAAGTTTTCTGCAAAAAAAAAATTTGCAGGAAAGTTTCCTGCAAAAAAAAATTTCGCAGAAAAATTTTCTGCGAATTTTTTCGCAAGAAGTTTTGCAAGAATATTTTTTACAAAAAAAATTAAAGAAATTACTATAAATTGTATCAATAATTTTTCAACTTTCAAATACTCACAATGAATTCATCCGAAGCATTTGTTCTCATGTCTCCAACATGTGATACTTAATCTTTTAAATTCTAAGATTGTAGATTATAAGCCTAACACTCAACCATACAAATCAACTTGTATGGTAAGTGTTGTCCCAACTTATATACTCTATAATTACTTTATTTTCAATGATGCAGGACTTGAAGTTTTTTAAAATATTAAACTTATAAATTTAAATATATATTTTTTATTTTTCTTGCAGATTAAAATTTGCAGAAAAATTCGCAAGAAAAGTTACCTGCAAAATTTTTCTACCATTTAGGAAACATTACTCGCGAATTTATTTTTGCAAGAAAATCTGCAATAAACAAAATAAAATTCTTACAAATTTTTCTGCAAATTTTTATCATGGAAAAAAATTTCTATGATTATTAAAATTGTAGAAAAATTTGTAAGAAATATTTGTAAATCATTTTTCGTAAAAAATTTCTGCGAATATTTTTTTGCAAGAAAATTTGCAAAAAGAAATTTGCGAATATTTTTTTGCAAGAAAATTTGTAAAAAGTTTTTGCGAATAATTTTTTGCAGGAAAATTCGCAAGAAAATGATATTTTTCTAGTAGTGCTTCAATAATGTAGACGATTCACAAGATATCTTTACATATGAATCAATTTGGTTGGACTACCAGTTAGTACTAAAGTCTTGTCTATCCCAAGTAAGAAGATGAGCATCCTGTGTCTCTATTAAAAAAGATTCAAGTTAAACATTTATTCTCAAGAGAAATGTCTTGAAGACATGGCTCAAAAGACCAACAATTTGAGTTATCTATCAAAAGACTTTAGTTAAAACATAACTTTTTAGAAGACTTGTACTAAAGACTATGTTCAGAAGGCTTGAAGACAAGACCTGCTCAAAAGGTATCTAATTTGAAGAAAAAGCTAATAGTATTAGAAAAAGCAAAGTACAATTTTGTCATCTATGCTTAAAGATAAGCAAGCCTTAATAAATATATTTTCAAAGGCTATAAAGGGAAGAAAATGGACATATTTTGAAGAAAGCAAGATCAAAGAGAGAAATCAAATACACAAGATAACAAATTGTAATCCTTACTTCATTATTTGATTCATTCAAAAAATTTCCACTTCAATATTATTATATCAGACTTGTAATAAGAAAAGAAGTGTGAAACCTTCCTTAATTAGTGGAAGACTGGAAGCTCCACCATAGGAGAGTTGATTGTAACTCTTGTAGTTTGAATTAACACTAAACTGATTTCTATAAATATTATTCCTACTTGGATATGAGTGTGTACAGGTGTAGGAAAATAGAAAGGAACCACAACTGGTGTTGTGTAATCTCATAAAAAGAGGTTGTGGGATAATTTTTCAATAGGTGGTTAAGTGAGAAAATCTCAGCAGGTGAATGAGTGTTTACTACTAATAGTAGGTGATTGTGTAACAATATCTTTGTATCAGAATGAGGTTGACTTTCTTGAACAATAGTTGGCTGTGATAGTGAATATCTCACAAGTTTATGTGAGGATTGGATGTAGCCCAATTAGGGTGAACTAATATAAAATCTATGTACAATCTCTCTTTCTTTATCTCTTTACTTATTTATTTACCTTATTGCATCTAGTATTGTATTGTTGCATAATTTGTTCTACAAACAAGTAAGCTCAAAAACTATTTTCAAAAATATATTTTAAGTTTCGATACCTAGAAGACCTACCTTTTAAAGAACAAATTTTATAATGAATTGATTTTTAAAAGAACAAAACAATTCAACTTTGCTTCTTGTACTCTTCTAGCATTCACTTCAATTAGTTTCAGAGCTTGGCTTTTAGAGTTAAGCACACTTAATAGTGTAGGAAAAAAGATTTTGAAGAAGTGATAGTTGCGCAACTTCCTATTATGTTCATTCTAGAAAGAGCTTCAACTTCCTGTTATCCACACTTTTTATTTTTTAATTTCCTTTTTATCAAATTGTTTTGTCTATCACACATATATATATATATATATAGAAGAAGGGTCCACGTATTCCAGGAGTAAGTTTGCATAACTCATGTTCTACATTAAATTTGAATAATCCAACTATTAAATTAAAATTGTTAATGTATAGATTAAGTCTGTAATTTTTTTTAAAAAAATTAAAAACTATTTAATTCTTCATTTCATTAATTTAAATTGAAAGATAATTGTACCGTCCAGGTCGTAGTCCGACCTGATCTCTTTCCCGGCGATAGGACGTTAACAACCATCTACTCGGCAAATACACGACCAGGTGGCCACGCCTTAAGCCCTATCGCCTTATAGGCTCAGGGCTGGAAGGCAAGTGTACCGTCCAGGTCGCCATTCGACCTGGTTTTCCATTCGGAAATAAGGCGAGCAGAATCTCCTTCTCGGCATTAACCCGACTGGGGGTCCAGTACAGACCTAGTCGGTCATAGCCCGACTTGATCTGCTAAGCTCGGTTCCTCTCGCCTACAAGGGAACTACTCGGCACTTATCTTGTCGGACCCTCGGTATGGGCCCAGTCGGTCAGATTCCGACTAAGCTTGTTCCCGCTAACCCCGCGTCATTGTGATAAGAACGGTTAGGGACATCCCTCGATCCTCGGGGCCCAAGAGGCCCATGAACAACGTACTATAAAACCCAAAACCCTAGAGCTAAGGAGGCAGATCACACTTTTGAATGCTCTGGCTTTGAGGCTTGACCTAGGAAAAAATCCTAGTGCACCCTTTGGCCGGAACATTTTGGCGCCCATCGTGGGGCTACGGTGAAACTTTTCCTACGCCCCAAGAAACACAAAAAACCTACACCCTACCATGGCGAGAGGCGGAAATAACAACAACTCGCAACCACCAACCATGGAGGAGATGATGGCCATGATCAATGGCTTAAGGGAGGAGAATGCGCGATCCAGGGAGAGAAAGGAGGCCATCCAACGTGAAAACGAGGAGATCAGGAGGCGAGCGGATGAGATGCAGGCCAGGATAGAAGCCAGTACCAGAGCGGTGGAGGAGGATGTCATGTTGGAAGTCCCTAGGGATTTTCAGCCTTTCTCGGAAGCCATAGAGGCCGAGGCCATCCCCAGGGATCATCGGATACCGCAAGTTGAACCCTTTGACGGAACGCAGGATCCCAGTCAACATCTGACGGATTTCCAGGCTCAAATGCTGATATGTGGGGGAAGCATGGAAGTCCGTTGCAAGCTATTCATGGGGACACTTAAAAAGGCGGCTCTCGACTGGTTTAGCGGTCTGCCTGACCGATCCATCACTGACTTCGACGTTTTCAGTCGGCTCTTCATGGCACAGTTTGCCGCTAACAAGAAGAAGCCACCGATCACGTCGGACTTGTTCGATCTCAAGCAGCAAAGGGAAGAGTCATTGAAGGATTTTCTGCAACGATTCAATGAGGTCGCCTTGAGGATAGCATCCTTGGACGAGAGGATGGCTGTCATTGCATTCCAGAAGGGTCTGAGGTCTGGAGCTTTCGACGTCGCACTGGAAAGAGCGAATTGCCAAACGATGTCGGAAGTGAGAGCCTTCGCACTGAGTCACATTAAAACGGAGGAGGGGCAGATCAGCAAAAGAGCAGCAGAGAGCCGAGGAGCAGGGGGTAGCAATAAGGAGGGAAACAAACATCTCCGGCCGCAGTCAGATTGGAATAAGCGACGCGACCGCTACAACATGAAGGAGGGTGGTTACCGACAGGCCGATCATGGTGGTCGGGTAAGGGGCGAGTGGACACGCAGCAATGATGAAGAAAAGTTCACTCCGCTCAATGTTCCCAGGCGACAGATACTTCACGATGTCAACAGCGCATCGTTGTTTGAATTCCCCGCAGCAACAGAGCGTCAGTTAGGACCTTTTAAAACCGATTGGTGTGAGTTCCATAGAACCCACGGATACTCCACTGAAAATTGCTTCGTCCTAGGGAGGCAGATCGAGCGCTTGATCAAGGAAGGGCGACTGAAGCAATTTGTGGCAAGGAAATAGGAAGGAGGTTCGTCGGATAGGCGACACAGGCGCACACAAGAGGACACCCGTAGAAATGGGCGTAGGGAGAGAACACCTCCCAGAGACACGCCAACGAAGTTGACCGAAACCCACCAGCAACCCATCCACGGCGATTTCAATACCATCGCAGGGGGCTTCACCAGCGGGGGAACTACCTCAGCTGCCCGAAAGAGGTACACTCGGTCAGTGCTGATGGTGTCGGAATTCAGGCGACCATCTCAGCCTGAGATTTCGTTCTCAGACTCGGATTACGAAGGAGTAGCCCCTCATGAGGATGACCCCGTCGTCGTATCGGCGATTGTCATGGGGTACAATGTGAAGCGTGTGTTGATTGACCAGGGAAGTTCCGCAGACATTTTATTCTAGGAAACCTTTGAGGGGATGAAAATACCTAACGACCAACTAATTCCTTATGCAGGGACTCTAGTGGGTTTTGCAGGAGACCAGGTCATCGCAAGGGGATATGCCGATCTGGAGACGACCTTTGGCCAAGGAGCTCAGATGAAGATGGTGGTCATTCGGTATTTGGTGGTCGATGCTCAGTCATCGTACAGCATACTGATCGGCAGGCCGACTCTGAACAAGCTGGGAGCGATAGTGTCTACTTCCCATCTGAAGGTAAAGTACCCGTTGCCGAGTGGTGCTGTAGGGGTTCTCAAGGTGGACCAGGAGGTTGCTCGGAAATGCTACGGGGATAGTTTAAAGGCGCGAAGGCGACTGTACACTAAGCAGGTAGAGAAGGAGGTCCATTCTGTCAAACTGGATCCTAGAATGGGTCAGTTCGACCACCGACCCGCCCCAGCAGAAGACGTCAAGGAAGTGGAGGTAATGGAAGGGAGAAACGTAAAGATAGGTACCTCTTTGACTCTCGAGGACAAAGAAAAATTGGTGAGTGTTCTAAAGGACAATGTGTCGGCATTCGCGTGGCATTCCAGCGACATGCCTGAATTGATCCAAATTTCTTGTGCCACAAGTTGGCCATAGACCCTAACGCGAAGGCAGTAATCCAGAAGAGAAGGAAGTTTGGCGAGGAAAAACGAAGGGCTATCGCGGAAGAGACGCAGAAGTTAGTGATGGCAGGACACGTCCGAGAAATCCAATATCCAACCTGGTTGGCAAACGTAGTCATGGTGCGCAAGAGCAGCGGGAAATGGAGAATGTGTACGGACTTCACCGACCTTAATAAGGCCTGCCCAAAAGACTCGTACCCGCTGCCGAACATAGACTGCCTGGTGGATGGGGCGTCGGGATACGAGTTACTAAGCTTCATGGATGCCTACTCGGGGTACAACCAAATCCGAATGCATCCCGCAGACGAGGACAAGACCGCCTTCATAGCCGATCAAGCCAATTTCTGCTACAGGGTTATGCTGTTCGGTCTGAAGAACGCGAGGGCGACCTATCAGCGACTGATGGAAAAAGTCCTGGTGAATCAACTAGGTCGAAATGTGGAAGCTTACGTATACGACATGGTGGTGAAGTCGGAAAGCGTCAGTCGGCATTTTGGCGACTTGCAGGAATTGTTCGACACCATTGGCAAGTACCAGCTCAAAATGAATCCTGAGAAGTGCTCTTTCGGTGTCCAGGCGGGAAAGTTCCTCAGTTTTCTACTGACTCACCGCGGCATTGAAGCGAACCCGGACAAGTGCTCGGTGATCATCAACATGAGGAGCCCCTCTACGGTGAAAGAGGTACAGCAATTGACAGGAAGGATGGCTTCTCTCTCCCGATTTCTATCAAGAGCAGCTGTGGAATAGCTATGTGTTGCTTTTCCAAAGGCGAGTAAAGAAGTATACATTTCTTTAGGGTCTTCTCTTCGTCTCTTTGGTGCTGGCACTTCTGCGTTGTTTCCCTTGGATAGGTGTATTTGCTCGTATCCTCACCCTTTAGAGCAGTTGAGTGTTGGTTGCGTACTCTATTGGGTAACAAGGTTGACAAACTATAAATCTGATATTCAATCTTCGAGTAGAAGCTCCATTGTTTCTCTTGTGATAATGTGTTCCTTTATTTGTAGCTTGTTGAGGAGGGAGTATTTTTGTAGCTCAACCTCTCCAGGCTGGACTGATATTTTAAGGCTTCAGCCGGCCCAATGCTAGTTCTAAGGTCTAGCAACCCTCTTTGTTGTTGTAATATTTTCTTAGCTCAGCCTCTCCAGGATGGACTGATATTTTAAGGCTTCAGCCGATCCTTGCTAGTTCTAAGGTCTGGTAACCCTTTTTGTTGTTGTAGTATTTTCATAGCTCAGCCTCTCTAGGCTGGACTGATATTTTAAGGCTTCAGCCGGCCCATGCTAGTTCTAAGGTCTGGTAACCCTCTTTGTTGTTTTAGTATTTTTGTAGCTTAGTCTCTCCAGGTTGGACTGATATTTTAAGGCTTCAGCCGGCCCATGCTAGTTCTAAGGTCTGGTAACCCTCTTTGTCCAAATCACAATATCAACAGTCAACCTAGAGAGGCCGGCATAATAATACTCACCATCAAAAAACTAGCCTAGAGAGGCCGTATAACAATACTCACCATCAGCAGCCAGCCTAGAGAGGCCGGCATAATAATACTCACCATCAGCAGCTAGCCTGGAGAGGCCGACACAACAATACTCACAACATCAATAGGCATCCTGGAGAAGCCGGCATAGCAATATTCACAACATCAACAGGCGACCTGGAGAGGCAGGCACAACAATACTCACAATATCAGCAGGCGGCCTGGAGAGGTCGGCACAACAATACTCACAACATCAGCAGGCGCCTGGAGAGGCATCACAATACTCACGTGGCAAGGGCAATACTAGAATCCCTACCAGCCATCCACTTCTCTGCCCACCAACACAGGGGCACATCAAACATCTCCTGTCCATCCACCTAGGGGCAGTCTTTCATCCCACAATGCCAATGAGAAACATCAAGTACAAGCACAGAGAGGGTTGCTAGATCCCCAAAACTAGTATAAGATCGAAGAAGATTACCTTAGAAGAGGTCGGCTGAAGCCTTAAAATATCACTACCACCTGGAGAGTCTACAAAAATACTACAGCCTGGAGAGGCTACGAAAATATCACTACAGCCTGGAGAGGCTACGCTGACTAGGCTGGAACGACCGTTCCAAATAAGGGTTTTTAGAGTTTTTTAATAACTTAGAACGACCCATTCTAGTTTAGGAATGACCCGTTCCAATTTAGGTTTTAGCCCTTTTTTAGGAGCTTGGAATGACCCATTCTAGTTTAGGAACGACTCGTTCCAGTTACAGGAACGACCCATTCCGGGCTACTAAGACCAGCTTATTTAAGCTTTAGGCTTTCTGATATCATGTCTTGTTGTTTCCATGCTTCGGAAGCTCCTTTCCTTGATAATAGACGTCCATTTTGTTACTTTTGTTGGTTTGGACGAAATTGGGTGTCTACAGCTGCCCTTCTTTACTTGTCCTTTGGAATAGCTATGTGTTGCTTTTCCAAAGGCGAGTAAAGAAGTATACATTTCTTTAGGGTCTTCTCTTCGTCTCTTTGGTGCTGGCACTTCTGCGTTGTTTCCCTTGGATAGGTGTATTTGCTCGTATCCTCACCCTTTAGAGCAGTTGAGTGTTGGTTGCGTACTCTATTGGGTAACAAGGTTGACAAACTATAAATCTGATATTCAATCTTCGAGTAGAAGCTCCATTGTTTCTCTTGTGATAATGTGTTCGAAACTCAAGAAGTCATTGGCATCCCCGTCGATCCTGACAAAACCGCGATCAAACTTGCCCTTGTTGGTATACATCTCGGCGTCCGACCGAGCTGTCAGTTCAGTCCTGGTGGAAGAGCAAGAAGCTTCTCAAGTCCCTATTTACTTCGTAAGTAGGGTCCTGTAGGGAGCAGAGACAAGATATCAGAGAATCAAAAAGTTGGCCCTCGCGATATTGGTCACTGTGAGGAATTTGAGGCACTACTTCCAGAGCTACGAAGTGATAATTCGCACTAATCATCCGATGCGACAAGTCTTGCAGAAGCCCGACCTCGCAGGCCAAATGATGAAGTGGTCAGTAGAGCTATCTGAGTTCTCAATCAAGTATGAACCGAGAGGAGCAATCAAGGCCCAAGCGTTAGCCGACTTCCTGATGGAACTGACCCCTCCTGTTGAGGATGGGGGAGGCGGAGAAACACAATGGATTCTATTGGTGGATGGCGCTTCGAACCTAGGAGGAAGTGGAGCTGGAATTGTCTTGGAAGGTTCCGGTGGAATACTGTTGGAACAGTCCCTACGCTTTGAGTTCCGGGCAAACAACAATCGAGCAGAGTATGAAGCATTGTTGGCAGGAATGGCTTTGGCAAAGGAGATGGGGGCGACGAGCTTGTCAGCTAGAAGTGATTCCCAATTGATCACCGGACAAGTAGCCGGGACCTTCCAGGCGAAGGACCCTCAATTAGACAGGTATTTGGAAAAGGTAAAACTCCTCTCAGAAAATTTCCGAGAGTTCACACTCAACCACGTCCCACGAGAGCAAAACTTGCGGGCCGATCTACTCTCTAAGCTCGCAAGCACAAGGAAGCCAGGAGCTACTTGGTCGGTTATCCAGGAAACTTTATCCCAACCGAGTATCAATTTTCAGTGTTGGTTGCGTACTCTATTGGGTAACAAGGTTGACAAACTATAAATCTGATATTCAATCTTCGAGTAGAAGCTCCATTGTTTCTCTTGTGATAATGTGTTCCTTTATTTGTAGCTTGTTGAGGAGGGAGTATTTTTGTAGCTCAACCTCTCCAGGCTGGACTGATATTTTAAGGCTTCAGCCGGCCCAATGCTAGTTCTAAGGTCTAGCAACCCTCTTTGTTGTTGTAATATTTTCTTAGCTCAGCCTCTCCAGGATGGACTGATATTTTAAGGCTTCAGCCGATCCTTGCTAGTTCTAAGGTCTGGTAACCCTTTTTGTTGTTGTAGTATTTTCATAGCTCAGCCTCTCTAGGCTGGACTGATATTTTAAGGCTTCAGCCGGCCCATGCTAGTTCTAAGG